TCTAAACATTTATAAATATTTTTACAGTACAAATTCTTTAGAATTCCTAAATAAATTATTAATACAGTGAAACTTCCGTATAATGAAGTCACATGGGGAACATAAGAAATTCATACTATGGAGGAATTTGTTCTAAAAATAATTGGTAAAACAGAACATTTTGTTAAATGAAAGTTTTAGGGTGATGCTATATGGGCAAATAATTTTTTTTTTTTTCAATTTGTTGAAGAGCACCTCGTAATTATTTTATACCTACCTAGGAGTTACTATTACATGTGAAATTTTTTTTAAAGGTCGCTACCAGGAATTTAAAATTGATAAATTTCGAAAAAAAATTAATTGTTTGTATATTTTATTATCTAGTATAATTTTCACATATAAGGTAGGTATTATTATTTTAATGAGCTATGTTATAATTACATTCTACAATTATTTTATTTACATTATTATAATATTAAAGTTGACTTTTTTCTGTCCGGATATTTTTGCCTAAACTGTTTTATTAGTAACAAAAGGAACAGTTTTTGTTCTTCATTTGTGGTGTGTAATTTGTTATATTCCTCCATCAAAGCCACTCCTCTCTCTGAAATATCGTTGACATCTCTCATCGACTGAACGATCGCTTTACTTTTTTTATAATCTTCGTCTTCATCCCAATGGTCGACATCTTTATTAAAAAACTGAGAAGAAATTCCTAATATCTCAAAGAATTTGCGAGTGTTGTCGGTTACAAAATGTTCTAAGTTTTTTCTTAAAACAATATCGGGTTCCAAACTTATGCGCTTCACTAAGTGCTCCGTTCCTTCATTTCGCATAGCAACCACCATGTTTCTTTTTGTTTCGGAAGAAACATTTTCGTCAAAAAAGGAGAATGCGATCAGTTCTTCTGATAAGTACCAAAGATGGCCAAGGAATTTCTTCATGACTTTTTTAGAAATCATTACATTTACTTCTTCGTATTTCTTTAAGTCTTTTAATAGTTGTAGGTCATTTCTAGCTGAGTAAATCGCTGTAGCAGCTTGAAACCAATATTTTATGTATATTCTTACAGTAAAAATACAAATGTCACAAATTCCTTCATATTCTTTTTTCGTCATCTTAAATTGTCCTCTAAATAAATATATTTTTAAGGAATATATGGCTTTTTCCATCCATCAAGCACGATGAAGTCCACCAGGGAATCTAAAAGATAAACCTTTTTTAGGAACTCCCAGCAAGAAAATAATACATAGGTTTAATAATTCTTTATAATCATTTCTTGGTTGAAACTCCTCTAGTTGTTTTGAAGAAAAAATGATCATATCTGTAGAAATATTTTCGATTTCATTCGAAGAAAAAGCATAGGATATGACAGTTTCAAAATGTTCCGAATGAATTGTACTCCAAGATTCTTAGTGGAACGATGAATGTATTGATTTTACAATGATGTATGTTTTTTTTAATTTTTTAATTTTTTTTTTGTGCCTGTCATCACGTTTTAGGACAGTAAAAGTGCTTGGATTTTCTTCAAAAGTAGCTTTTCTGATAGGAAAGTGAATCTAGTTGGTACTTTGGGGGGTTAAAAATTTCCCAGTAGTTTTCAAAAGCGATGTGAAAAACAAAATAAAAATTAAGGAAAAACGGGATTTTTACATTAAAATCTGTTTTTGAAAAAATCGATTTTGGTTTTTGGTGAAACTCTTAAACAAATGACCGAAGGTACATGAAATTGTGACTGAATGTTTATATTAGCATTTTCTATACTCGATAACGTTTTCAAAATGTTTTGATTTATTTTTGAACTGTTTAGGCACATTTTCATTTTCCATTTTTTTTTAGTTTTTTTTCTAAACATCAATAAAATTTTATTTGTTATATAAAAAAGCTTGAAAATGTAATACAAGGCTCCTACTATATTGTTACAATGGAATTTGAAAAATATTAAAAATCCTTAGTCACAGTTTTTTTTTTTATAAGCATTTAAAGTCCAAAAATTTACAAAATATGGAAAAATCACGAAAATTAGCAAATTATTATGAGTTAAGAATTCGTAAAAATGTTTCTTTTTAAATCTAAGATTTGAAAATGTGATACAAGATTCCTTATAAGATTATCTACCTTTAACAATTGGGGCCGGCCAAAGAGTTCTGGTTTACCTGTGATCTGAAGTACGACCCGTTGAAAAACATGGAAACGAGTCCGCGTATCTCGTGCCACGTACGTCTGTAATAGTTTTATACGTTTGTTTACTCGAGTTACGTAAACGTTTTACAACATTAAGTATAGTTTGTTATTATTTATTTTATAGTTATTACCTATAGTCTTATATGTACCTATTTTTTTCTCATTCTTTGCAATATATTGTTTTTAACCAATAATTACACGTCGTGGCCGGTCTTGAATTTTATTAAAATGGTTCGCTCTAATAACCAAGCAATTTGTTTCATTTATCAACAGCATTCTATCATTAAAAACAGCATTGAATCGAGATTGTTCTCGTTTCTTAAAGGTACGTAATGTACTAATGTGTAATACATAATATAATATTTATTTTGTTTTATTTTTTTTGTTAATTGGAAACTTCTGATTAAGAAGAAATACATTAAGGCCGTAGTCGTGTGGTCGAACAAAACAAATTTGGATACCTGTGAATTTAAAATGCAAACATATGTTGTTTGGAAATCTGCTGTGTCTAGATATTTCAATGTAACTGTAAAAGGAACAAGTCTATGAACCACAAGACCAGCTACATATTATAATTATTATAATATAATAGGTAAGAACTACTGTTTTTTTTCTGACTAACCTACTTTCATCACCATAGAAGCACAAAATTATCAATATAAAAACATCTATGATAATCCAGTACCATGTTACTTTTTTTACATAACGAAGTATCTGAAAAAAATAATTTGTAGGATATTAAAACTGAAATGAATAACTCTTATTATTTAAATAGGTTTTTGATTTTTTTTTTCTTAAAACACTATAAGTTTACCTACTCTCATTTTAGGGATTTCAACATCGACTACCTCCGTCTGTTGTGTTTTTTCCTATAACATAATTTAATATTATTAATTCAATAGTTATATTAAATAATAAATATATACATATTTAGTAGTTGTGTATGTATAGGTAGATTATTTATGATAGAGACTTAATAAATTGTATTAAATTAGTTAATATGATGATGATAGAATTATAGTGTTAACTCACTTCAAACAAATAATTATATTAATAACCATTAATTTATTTCCCAATAAAAATAGTTTATTAAAATTGATTACAAGTGTCAACATTAACTAGGATCTACCGTTACCTGTTAAAATTAAAAATATTATAAATACCATATTTATTTTATTCGTGATAAGTGACCACATAAATTTATTTTAAAATTGGTATGCCTAAAATAATGGTAATTTAACATTAAGGAGGGGTCAAGTATTATCAGAACTTGTTGCAACCAACTTTTTATTTTACCCTAGGTGTGTGAAATTGTTATTCAAATAATACATATAGACAAAATATTGAAGTAGGTACTAAAAACTTACTTCCTCTGTTTTTTCTGTCTCTACAGGTGCTTTGATCAGTTTCTAAAATTTAAAAATTTTTATTACTTATACTACAGAAATAACATTACCATGTACTATGTATCATGAATTGAAATACTAAAACTTACTTCCTCTGCTTTTTTGGTCAATTTCTCCCGCAGATCTCCCTTACGGGATTTTACTAGTTTCTAAAATTTTAAAGTTTTAATAATTTATGCTATAGAAATAACATTACCATGTGTGTATCACGAATTCACGAATGGTACTATTGCAATACTACTTTTTGTTGTTGTAAGTATGCAATTGTTTTTTAAATAGCACATATAAACATATTGAAGTACTAAAGACTTACTTTCTCTCTTATTTTATCTATTTTGTCCCGTAGATCTCCCATCCTACGGGATTGGACAAGTTTCTAAAATTTAAAAGTTTTTATACTTAATACTTATAATATTAAATAAGAACCATACATAAATAATGTTAGGTTAGGTTTTAGAGTACTGTCTAGGATTTGGCTTGGTTAATATATTTGTAACAATGAACTAGGCATATTCAGGGGCGTATACAAGGGGGGGATGTGGGGGTCAGATCCCCCCATAGGCCTTTTTTTAAATTTTATAAAATAGTGTTCTTAATGACTTAATGTAAGGAAATTACAAGGAAAAAAAATGGCAAGGATTTTTTGTAAATTTTTATTTTAACACAATATTCAACAATTAATTAAAAATAATTTACTTAATATTAATCAGTAATCATATATTTATTTCATATTCATATAATCGTATTATGTGATATTTGATAATATGTATATTATATATACAAGTATAATAAATTATTATAAGAATAATAATATGTGGCAGACCAGCCCGTCGCCACCGTCACCGATATCAACGCGTATAATAATACGTTTTCCTATACGTAATTTTGTATATTATCAACTAACATGGATATACCTACAACATACTAGCTAATAGCTATCAGTAATTTTTGTTCATTGAAAGCTAAATATAGCTTAAATAATAAATATTGAAGCGAAAAGAATTCTGAAAACAGATTTGAATTTGTCGTCAAGTCTCCTTGAAATCGATTTTCCCACATTTTGGATTTTTTGATTTTTTCTTCTCCAAAAATTGAAATAACGGAATTTTTAAATACTCTTTTTGAATATGACATTTTAAAAAAATTGGGGGGTAATATCAAAAATGTGGGAAAGTAAATTTCAAGAAGACTTGACAAAAAATTCAAATCTGTTTTCAGAATTCTTATCGCTCCATTAGATCAATTGGTATGTTTGGCAAAAAATACGTCTAATAAATACTATGTCGCACGTGTGTTAGACAAAAACAGAAAACTACGGTATCGAATCCCCTTAATAATTCGTACAAACTTAAACCTATATTAAGGACATTTTATACCATCAAAGTTTGATTTTCTAATTTGTAGTTGTGCTTTATAATGTAATAGACATTAATGTCTCGCATTCCCACGGATACGGATGATGCAACATATCGGTTATCTTTAACGGATCAAGACACTGTTAATACACTCGGCTTATCTTGGCAGCCCAGCACAGATACTTTTCATTTTTCCCTTGGTACTTGGAATCCGCCAGCACACATGACAAAACGTTCTCTTCTGGCTGATATTAATCGTATATTCGATCCCATTGGACTCATTCCTCCTATATTAATAAAACGCAAGATCTTCTTACAGCAATTATGGTTACTAAAATTGAGCTGGGATTCAATACTATCAGGAGACCTACAAGCACGTTGGATCAATTTTTATTCCAGTCTTAAGTCATTGGATAAATTGTCTATTTCTCGGAAGGTCATAATTGATGGTGAATCTACTATTACTTTACATGGTTTCTGTGATACGTCACAAGCAGCATAATATGGCGCTTGTGTCTATATTCTAAATCAATCTCATGATGGTTCTAACACTGTCAATTTGTTGATGTCAAAATCCAGGGTGGCTCCCATGCGCACAACTACCATTCCAAGACTTGAGCTGTGCGGTGCCCTTCTTCTGTCAGAACTCATCGTTGAAATTCAAGCAGAACTGTCAACCATGAACATCAAATTTGATTCATCGGACATAGTGTTATGGACTGATTCCTCAGTAGTACTTGGATGGATTCAATCAGTTGTCCAACTCAAGTCGTTTGTAGCCAATCGGATAACACAAATTTTGGAGAATACTGAAGCCAAAATGTGGCGTCATGTTCCTACTTCTAATAATCCAGCGGATTTGATAACTAGGGGAACCAACGTAGATACATTGGCTGATCCTAATCATATCTGGTGGAATGGGCCAAGTTGGTTAGTTAACACAGAGGATTCATGGCCTGCTGAAATACCTCTTCAAGAAGACCTTCCAGAGGTACGTCCAATTAAGTTAGCACTTTTGGCTACACATGGTGATACAAATTGGATTATTGACCGTTGTTCCAACTGGCTGAAGTTAATGCGCGTAACTGGGTATGTGTTACGATTTGTGTTTAACTGTAAAATACCTAAGCTTAAAAAAGATGATCGTCAGCTTGGCTCATTAAGTGTTGCTGAACTAGATGTGAGCCAGATTTTTTGGTTACTTCGATCTCAAATACAAGACTTTAGCTCGGAAATAAGCTCACTGACACGTGGAAAGAATGTTGATCGTCGAAGTTGTCTGAAATCTCTAAATCAGTTTCTTGATGATCACAAGGTAATAAAAGTGGGAGGCAGATTAGCTTACCCTCCAATACCTGAAAATCAAAAGTGTCCAATCGTTCTGTCTTCAAGGAATCCAATTGTTAAAATGCTATTTCAATATGAACATATTCGATTACTTCACATCGGTCCTCAAGGACTCCTGGCTCACATCCATAGGACATACTGGCCTATCAGAGACAGAAGTTTAGCTCGTCTAACTGTCCATAAATGCATAGTTTGTGTTCGATCCAAACTTCTGATGCTCCAACCTGTCATGGCTCCCTTGCCTTCAGTTCGTGTTACCAGATGTCGGGCATTTGAAAATGCTGGTGTTGACCTGTGTGGTAACATCAACATTCGTAGCGGTTTAAGAAAGGTCACACCATTGAAGCATTACATTGCAGTTTTTGTATGCATGGTTACGCGTGCAATTTATTTGGAGCTTGTTCGAGATTTGTCTTCAGATGAGTTTATTTCAGTATTATTCCGATTTATTGCACGCCGATGTGAATGTGTAAATTTATATAGTGACAATGCCACTAACTTCATAGGCGCCAAAAAGATACTTTCATCGTGGGCATTTGATTTATCTAAAGAAAGTAAATTCAATGATCGACTAACAGATTTGGGCATTGAATGGCAATTTATTCCTCCGTCAGCCCCACATTTTGGCGGACTGTGGGAGTCTGCGGTTAAATCGGCAAACAACATCTTGTTAAATGTAGTAACGGTGCTCTTTTAACTTATGAGAAAATTAGTACATTGTTGTGTAGAATTGAAGCGGTCCTCAATTCTAGACCTCTCACTGCAATTTCATCTGATCCATCTGACTTTAACGCTTTGACACCAGGGCACTTCCTAATTGGATGTCCATTGACTTCTCCACCTGAGCCCAATGTGTTGGATATTCCTAAAAATCGGCTCCGTAAATTCCAATTAATACAATCTCGTTTGCAACATTTTTGGAAAAGATGGTCTTCAGAATATCTACCACAGTTGCAGCGCCGAGATCGTTGGATTTCAAATAAGTCTGAAAATATATCAATTGGTGATTTGGCAATACTGAAACAGGATAACATCCCACCACTTCAATGGCAGATGGTTCGAGTTATCAAAGTTAGTCCTGGTGCCGAGGGTGTTGTTAGAGTAGTTACAGTTCGGAACGCAACTGGTGCAGAGTATATTCGACCTGCACGGAAGTTGGCTCGCCTACCCAATCAAGATCGAGAAGATGCAGAAGATTAGTCATCAACACATTAATTAAGTGTTATTTTATACTGCTTTACCTACTATTTATTTAATTATGTTTGTTTTTTTTTTGTTGTTGTCAATTGTCATTATATAGTCATTCAGTTTTAAGCTCTCCGCTTGAGTTATTTTATATATTTATTGTAACATGATCTCAAATATTGTAATTATCATTCATGTCACCCAATTTTTTTGTTAACCTTATCCTGGAAAGTGTCATAAGCTTTCCAGGTGGGTTTCCATGGTCAAAAATATATTATTTGAAAAAAAGGCATCTGACAAGACGTGGCGATGTGAGGGGGGTACGGGGGGTACGTGATGGCGAGTGGGTGGTGATGCAGGTAATACAAAGACCCGCTAGATTCTCGATGGTCGGCTCTCCATCATTGTCTTCGATTCGTGTTAAGACTTCCTCCGTCAGCTCATTATCAATAATGTAGTCAATGATTTCCTCCAAGACGTCCATGATGATTTCTTCACTCTCGTGGTTCGTTTCGTTCTCTTGTGATTCAGCCATTTTTTCCAGGTAAATTGTCAGCTCGTAGGTACTCAGAATTGCAAATGAGACGATTTCGAATTTCGTCCTAGGCCGTCGCCTATGATTTAAAACAAACATCGTTTGTTAGTAGCCAGCGAGTAAACCATCTGTTCACGCTCACAAGCAGTCATTGAATCAGTGCCACCAGAGTTAACATAATTCTATAACTATCAAATTTTGTATGGCACTGAAGGTCCGTTACTACGTTCATATTATCTTTTCTGGTCGGTATGGTCCGTTGGACCATTTCTTTTTTTCTTTTCTTTCGGTGCTCTCGAAGTAGCAACCTGTGCGCTTACTGCTCATGTTTATATTTTTCGGTTATACCGTTCTTTCGGATATATTGTTCTGTGGTTGTTTATTATTCGGTGAATGACGGTTTTATATTGGTATGTATTGTTCGGCCACCTTCTGCGGCGGGTATTAAATATTGTTATATTTACAGGAGGTCATTTATATACAAATTGTTGTTGGTGTTCACCTCGTGGTTTGTTTGGTCGTTTTGGTTCGGCTGCTCCTTAATTGTTGGCTGCAGGGTAATGGTTGAGTCTTCATGGTATGTTTAGCGGTGTCCATGTGAGTGTGCCAGATCAACTTGTTGTTTTTTTATTGTAACGTTGGAATTATTATATACGGATCTGGGCACCACTTGGCACCATAAACATATCTAAGGTATGTGGTGCATCACATGGTTACATTTACATATTATATACACATTATACCTATTTATTATTATTATTATAAGAGCCGTCTGAGGAAAAAAACATATTCATGTTTAATTTATTATGTGTTAAAATACCATTTAAATTATAAACCTGTACCTATTATTATATTCATTGGACTTGGAGTTCATTTATTTTGTTTATTGTTATAATTTATACTAAGCAGTATTGCACAGTCATTATATTGTCAACTGGCAAATATTATTATATTAATTCAATTGTGTGATTTTTTTTATTATTTAATTATACAGTCCACTCAATCACAATATTACTTTTATTTATTATTGGAGTTACCTCAACTTATATTAATGTTATATAAGTAGGCACAGCTCCTACACTTGTATAAATACAAACATTGTTTAATACCATAGATCATAATTATAATACTAGAAATAAATGTCATTCTAATGTTAATTCTATTAGATTTTATAAGACTGTAACATGTCAGAGTCCTATTTACAAATGTACATTGCTGTGTCGTAAATTAAACTTAAATCTTTTTAACTTTAATATTATTAACTCATTAAAATTATATATTAAACTTAATCAGTTTTACAATATTACACTTAATTTTGATTTATAAATCTTTTCCTTTCTTATATTTTTTATTTTTCCTATTTAATTATCTTATATTATGTTGTTATACGATTCTTAGTTTATCGTTTATTTACTAAATGTTATATGAAACTCTCATTTCTTAGCATAAGCTTTTAGCTTTTTAGAAGTGAGCCAATATAATCTAATTCTATCTGTTATATTTACTATTTTAATTGTTTTAAAATTACTACTTATTTTTCTCATGTACTATTTGTTTTTGTTAAACTATTATGTGATACACTGATATTGGCAAAATAAACTTATTATTATTATTATTATTATATAATAGTGAAAACAGAGAAAACAATTTATTGATAAATGATAACCATGAACTGATAATAGTCGATTAAATAGGGAAAATAAGGCGTTGCCAACAGCCAAAAAAGTAAATCCCTGGAACAGCTTAGGTAAACGCACAGATATAAAATATCTATAAATCTATCTATAAATATTTTATATCTGTGGGTTAACGTCCGTATTTATTATTTAAGAAAATATTATATAAATTATAAATAATATTATTATATATTATTACATAATAACAAATTGGTAATTAGTAAGTGTTATTGGATATTACTAATATATTTACTATTTAGTTTATTGTACAATATATTATAGACTATCACTATAGTCGGAATTAGTATGATTTATTTAGTCCGTTCTGGTTATTGGTCAAGAAAACTTTTTTTTAATGAAGAGAGGATAAACTTACTTGGAGACATTTAAACTGAAGTAAGAAACAGTTAATAACAATAAATTAACTATTAATTATGTATCTAATTAAACAAAAACAAAATATTTTTTAACAATTTATTTTATTAATTCAATTTTATATTAATATATGACTTTGTTTTGAATGTTACCAAATTCTTATAGTACCTGTAAAGTGAGAATTACACAAAGGACAATTCTCTCGTTCCAACCTTGGCACACAATCGACACACAGAACTCTATGCCCACACGGTATAAGTGCATGTGTTCTCACACCATCTCTACACACAACACATAGATCCTCTTCATTTCTACGAGGAAACATGGTTGCAATATTTTGAGGAACAGGAGCATATGGTATTTCTTGTTCTTCATCATTACCATATTGCTCCTCCCAAATTGCCAAGGCCAAATCCTCAGGTACAAAGAAATCTGCCTCATTATATTCTTCTTCTGGATCTAATAACCAGGTAATGATGAGATATTATATTAAATTATATATAAAAAAATAATAATATGTAGGAAGTAAGAAGATAATTACTCAGTATATTATTGACAGCTTGATTTTCAACCTCTGCTGGAACTTCTTGTTCAGGATCATTTACTGGAATATCAAATAATATGTTATATATAAATTATGGTAAGAAAAATACCTAGATCATTGGCAATGACATAAGTTAAGTTTACATTTTTACATTTTAGGAATTTAGTATAAGTGGAAGATTAAGTTATAACTTACTTTCTGGATTATCAACAACATTGTTATTCAATTGAAGATCTTCAATGACCTCAATTACAGGTGCATTAATCACATTAATATCAGCCTCTTCTTCAGAATCTATTGATAAGTTAAAGACCAACACTATTTATATGTAGAAATCATGTAAAATGTACATGCTATATGATATTTGAATATCATATATATCACTTGAATAATTGATTTTACTCTATATTATACTATAAGTACCTTCACTTTCATCTTGCCAATTCAACTCTCTTGTTAAGTAACCATTCACACAGTGTGAGCACTGTATCAAGAACTCTTTAATTGTAATTGCTCCTGTGGTAAGTAGAACTGTTGCGTAGACTATTTAAAAGGAATTTAATTTTTGTGTTGCGTGTTGTAGCCATTCCTGCTGCTAATTGATTCACCATAATATGTTGCTTCATTGATAAGTTTTTCAAATGTTCTAGGTAGGTAAAATCAACATTTAATTTTAATTATTTATTTCCATGGAACATTAATTTTAATTTTATAATATTTATTAACCTATATCTACACACATATATTTTATTAAGCATTTTCTTATAATAGCTAATAGCAATTACAATTTACAAGGTGTTGGATTTATATGCTCTTTAATCCTTCTAAATATTATGCACAAAAAATATAGTTACTAAATTATTAATTAAAGCAAAATTTATTTTAACACAAATTCTATACAATAAGTGACTAGGTACCTACTATTGATTACCGGTATTTTTTTTTTTATATGTACCTATTGTAAATTTGGGTAGATGCTATAAAAAATTGAATACATTTTATTTATGTTTGAATTTATGATTAATTTATTATTAACAAAAAAAACTATTTAGTTTCAATATTTATGTCTTATCAATTACATTTAATCAGTTATACCTTAAGAGTTATACCTACTGTAGATTTGATCAATTACAAATCATTCTTACTTGTGTTAAAAAAGGCTTCCTATGCTAAATATCAATATGCATTAAAGATTTATATGCCTATTACACTATCTCGATTTAAAATAAAAAAAAGACAGAAATAGTAGGTAAAAAAGTTTTAAAAAGTAAAAATAAATATAATTCTATGGTTTTAGTAATTCTTTTCTTTAGATTTTTTCTTTTTATAGCTAAAATAACTAATACCTAAATACATATTAAAATTAAAAAACTATTTCTGTGTCACTATATAGAAATACATATAATTCTAAGATTTAATTATTAATAACAAAAGCTAATTATTGTTAATTATAAACATTTTATTTGTTTTCAGCTTCTCCCCAAAATTTGAAAATTTGAAAAATTACTAAAAAAACTCACCCAACATTCTCCACAAATTTGGGTGTGTCACCTGAAAAGTCTGTTTAAGACTGTAATGAAAACTTTCAATGTTGTTATTGGTGCGCCGTGGTTGATTGAATACTGAAAAGCACTCTGGAGCTTTTCGAGTGAGCCAAAAACTGTAGAAATTAAAAACTATTAGATTGTTTTGAGAATTTATTTTTCCAATCAATAATATATAATTTAACTCAATAGCTTATATAAAATTTACCTGTTAAAATTTGTAAAAAATCTTAGCATCAAAACCTTATTATTTTGGGCATGGATTTTAATCTCTTGAAATCCCTCCTCAATTTGATGATGAGGCAATAGTGCTAACACTGCGCACATTCTTAAACACATTTTTGCCTCTCTCTCTCTCTTGCTGTACATAATTTGAGTAGCCCATTTTTTAAATATTTTTCTGCAAACTCTAAAATAAATAACTTTAATAATATATACAATGTGAAGACTTAAATATAACAACCGATACAAAAATAATTTCAAACCTGTACAAAATGGAACCAGCAAGAATATACCATTGCTTCTGGATATATGTCGGAGAAGACGTTGAGTAGTGCGGTCTCAAAGTCGATCATAATAGACAATGGTCTGACTTCAGGAAATTTTGAATGGAATCTTTCCAACACTTTCCTGTATGAAGCTTCAGTCTTTACTTCCATTAAAACAAAGCATACAGGTATAGACTAAACAAAGCATGTATATGGTTTTATTCGTATAATTAATTGGAATAATTAATAGTTATAATATTTTACATGATTTTGCAGGATCAAATGCAACATAAAGAGTTGTCTGCAATGGGGAATTGATGGAACTACTTTGAAAGTAGCGTCAGCGTGTAGTTCTGTGGCACCCTGATTAACTACAGAACTAATAATTTCTTGGCACGCAAACATGACACTATACTTCCCATCACTATCTACTATCCATTCTTTTTAGAATGTCGAATTATTACATTGATACCTATAAATGAGGTACTTAAATTACAACAATCAGTAATTTTAAATTGTATTAACTATATAATCTTACCTGTTAGCATTTAAATCTAAATATTCGCCCAACTCCCGTAGTGTGGATGGTAATGCTGGACAAACACTTCTTCTGGCCTGCCGCATATAAGACTCTGCTGTGGCCAACTATAATTTAAAGCAGCTTCCTGGTTTCTATCAAATTTGCATTTGCAATTCAACAAAAATATTGTTTATATTTAAGAATTTTAAAGTGCATTATACGTTACCCTTACCTAACTGATTCCTCATCGTATATAACTTTTAGAGCTTTAGTCTCTGTCTTTGACCTTTCAATTAAAGTTGTCCTTAAACGTTTTATAAGTTGTTGCTTATTAAATGTTGGACCATAAGCTAAATGCGTGTGATCTTTATTTGGTATGATGGTGCCGTTTTCCAGTTGGATTAGTGTCCCTTTACAGTATACATTAGGTGTTGCACAGACATAGTAACTGTAATACAATTTTACATGTATTTCTATAATTTTTTAATAATAAAAAATTGAGTGTGACTTACCGTTTACCACCAATGGTTTTATTGATTTTATAGTAGAATCCGTCGTGTTCCATTTTTAAAAAAAAAGTAAGCAAGCAATGGTAAAATAATTTTTACGGGATAAAAATATTTAAAAAAACTGATCAAATAAAATAGGACTGTTTTAATGACCAAATAACACGTACAATTATGCAGAGACAAATGACAATAAATCGAGAATTAGGTTATAATACATTCGTAAATATTCCACATTTATCAAATAAAAAAATAACAATGAGCTAAAAATAAATATGGTTTTTATTTTTAGTGAGTCATAATTGACTCCCGGATAAATAATGCCTATTTTTTTTACGCATTGGCAATTGCTATAATATATTGATATATTTTAGGCTAAAATATCCAAGATTTTTACGTGCCGCCATAATATAATTACCATTACTATTAAAATAACCATAAGTAATTTAATACAATATGTGCGTTGAATTGTTAGTCGACATTCAGCACATAAATATTTTTATAACAACATATATATATATATAAATATATATATGGTATAGTTTTTTGTTAACCCTAACAGCAATTGAAAGACAAAATAAATATAATATATTTTTCAACTTCATTGTTTTCATATTGACTATTTAGTTTTAACAATATACGTCATGCAATGTCACAGAAATATCTGACAAACGAAATAACTTATGTTCTGATCAATATTTATAATATGTTTGTTTTTATATCATACGTATAGCCGTAAAGATATAGCATAACAATATAACATCTTTTCGTTCTATTTTCAGTATTAAAAATTTATATGAATTAATTTATATTAAAATCCTATGACACGTGCAGACTGCAGCTTCGATAAAATATTGATAAAAATTAAATTAAAATAAAATCGGGTAAGTGGATGTCGCTCTGCTGTACAGTAGGTTACAAGTGGGTCACTGTATAATGGATGCTATTAGATTTGAATTCAACGATACAATATAATTGTATAAGAAAAACGATTCTGAGCGGAGACGGTATGTCAGTCTGGGTAAAAGAACATATTAAATATTAAACATTTCGTCCAAATTTGAATTTAAAATGTCGGTAAAAAAAAACTGTGTTTATGTATTTTTTAGATTTTTTGGTTATGGTATGAACTATTTATGAGGATCTTTGTTTTAAATGTTCAATCCTTAGTTATTATAATTTTTTAATTACAATGATTGATAATTTTCGATATTTTGATAAATTTTGTCAAAATTTGAACTTCAAATGCCTATAAAAAAAATTTGTGCCTATGTATTTTAATATTTTATGACTGATAACAATATATCAGGAGCCTCGTATTAAATTTTCAAGCTTTTTTGCCAAACAAATAAATTTTTATTGGTATTTATAGAGATAAAAAACTAAAAATATTGAAAACTGACAATGTCCGTAAAAAGCTCAAAAAGAGTTGAATTATTTTGAAAATTGAATTTTGTATAGAAAATGCTAATATAAACATTCAGTAAAATTTTCAAGTATCTACAGTCATTCATTTTTTAATTACAACAAAATAAGAAAATTCACTGAAATCAATCTGAACAGAAATCGAGCGAATATCAAATGTTGTTGTAAACATATGAATTTCAAACGCTCATAAAAATTTAATTTGATTTCTTCTAGAAATTTTTTTTTGAATAAAGGTGGAAAAACTTATGGGGAATCTTGTATTACACTTTAAAATCTCAGATTTAAAAAGAAAATTTTTTACGAATTTCTAACTCAAAATAATTTGCAAATTTTCGTCATTTTTACGTATTTTGTCAATATTTCAACTTTAAATGCTTATAAAAAAAATTTTGACTAGGGATTTTTAATTTTTTTCTTCTACCTTTAAAACAATATACTAGGAGCTTTCTATTAAATTTTTAAACTTTTTTAACCAACAGATAAAATTTTATTGATATTTATAGGAAAAAAAACTAAAAAAAAAAGGTGGGTAAGTGGATGTCACTCTGCTGTATAGTAGGTTACAAGTGGGTCACTGTATAATGGATGCTATTAAATTTGAATTCAATGATACAATATCATTGTATAAGAAAAACGATTCTGAGCGAAGACGGTATGTCAGTCTAGGTTTAAGACATATTATATACATATCTATGGTATTAAAAAAAAGTTGACCTATAATAAGTTCCAAATTAATCATATCACAATATCCATTAGGTACTTATAACACGTTATACATCAATAACAAACCCTGATACTATCATAGATATATAATATAGTGAACTTTAGAAGTTTCAAGTAAACACGAATAGCGTATTATACACTCACAACAAAATAACTAAAATAGGTATGCTAGGTTTTTTAATATGTAATTTCGTCCCAAATTTGAACTTAAAATGTCTGAAAAAAATAACTGTGCTCATATATTTTTAGATTTTTTGGCTACAGTATGAACTATTTATGAGAATCTTTTTTTTAAACTTTCAATCTTTAGCTATAAAAACTGAACATTTTATAATTTATTAATTACGATGATTGATAATTTTCGAGATTTTGATAAATTTTGTCAAAATGCGATCTTTAAATGCTTATAAAAAAAAATTGTGCCTATGTATTTTTAATATTTTTCAATTGTTATTGTAACAATATATCAGGAGCCTTGTATTAATTCTTTACACTTTTTGGCTCAACAGATAAAAATTTATTGATGTTTATAGAAAAAAAAAACTAAAAAAATTGAAAACTGAAAATGTCCGTAAACGGCTCAAAAGGAGTCAAAATATTTTGTATGGTGTATAGGAAATGCTAATATAAACATTCAGTGAAATTTTCATGTATCTACAGTAATTCGTTTTTGAATAGTACCCACGAATAATATACACAATCACAACAAAATAACTACAATAGTTATTCTAGGTTTTTTTATGTAATTTTGTCCAAAGTTGAACTTAAAATGACTATAAAAATAAACGGTGCTTACGTATTTTTTAGATTTTTTGGTAACAGAATTAACTACTTACGTAGAATCTTGTTTTTAATTTTCAATCCTTAGATATAGAAGTTGAACATTTTATAAATTTTTAACTACAAAATATTTATTCAATTATAAATTTTATAAATTTTTTCAAAATTCGATCTTTAAATGCTTATAAAAAAAAATTGTGCCTATGTATTTGAATATTTTTCAACTGATATTGTAACAATATATCAGGAGCCTTGTATTAAATTTTTACACTTTTTGGCCCAACAGATAAAACTTTATTGATATTTATAGAATAAAAAACTAAAAAAATTGGAAACTGGAAATGTCCGTAAACAGCTCAAAAAGCGTCAAAATATTTTCATTTACAACAAAATAAGAAAATCGCTACATGAGAAATCGAGTGAATATCCAATGTTGTAAAAATTTGAATTTCAAACACTCATAAAAATTTAGTTTGACTTTCTTATGGACTTTTTTTTTGATAAAGGTAGACAACCTTATAAGGAATCTTGTATTACATTTTCATATCTAAGATTTAAAAAGAAAAATTTTTATGAATTCTTAACTCAAATAATTTGCAAATTTTCGTGATTTTTCCATATTTTGTCATTTTAGATTCTGAGTGGAACGATGAATGTAAGTATTGATTTTACAATGATGTGTGTTTTTTTATTTTTTATTTTTGTGTCTGTGTACACGATATGTAGTCAAAATAATGCTTCGATTTTCGACTTCAGTAACTTGTTCGATTGGAAAGTGAATATCGTTGGTACATTGGGGAGGTCAAAATTTAAAATTAACAGTATTTTTCAAAAGTGCCAAGAAAAACAAAAGAAAAATTAAGGAAAAACGGGAATTTTTACCTCGAATTTTCAATTCGATTTTTAAATCGATTTTTCAGAAAATTGAATTTGGTTTTTGGTGTAACTTTGAAACAAATGACCGTAGATACATGAAATTTTCACTGGTTGTTTATATTTACATTTTCTATACACGATACAATTTTCAAAATATTTTGATTTATTTTGAACTGTTTAGGGACATTTTCATTTTTCATTTTTTTTTTAGTTTTATTTCTAGAAATATCAATAAAATTTTATTTGTTGGTTGAAAAAACTTGAAAATTTAATAGAAGGCTCCTAGTATATTGTTTCAAAAGCAGATGAAAAATATTAAAAATCGTAAGTCACAGTTTCTTTTTATAAGCATTTAAAGTTCAAAAATTGACAAAATATGGAAAAATCACGAAAATTAGTAAATTATTTTGAGTTAAGAATTCGTAAAAATTTTTCTTTTTAAATCTAAGATTTGAAAATGTAATACAAGATTACTCATAAGTTTGTCTACCTTTATCAATAAAAAAATCTCTACCGGACAGTCAAATTAAATATTTATGAGCGTTTGATATTAAAATTTTTACAACATTGGATGTTCACTCGATTTCTCACGTAGCGATTTCCTTATTTTGTTGTTATTCATAAACGAATAACTATAGATACATGAAAATTTCACTGAATGTTTATATTAGCATTTCCTATACACCATACAATTTTGAAAATATTTTGACTCTTTTTGAGCTGTTTACGGATATTTTCATTTTTCAATTTTTTTAGTTTTTTTTTCTATAAATATCAATAAAGTTTTATCTGTTGGGCCAAAATGTGTAAAAAATTAATACAAGGCTCCTGATATATTGTTACAATAGCAAGTGAAATATAATAGTGAATAAGTGAACCTATAGTACTACTTATCTTCTTTATATTTACATAATATACTTAATTATGTACATTATGTTTCTTAATTATTCACAATAAAACGTATTTCAATGTTCGCTTAAATAATTTTTTAAGAATTTAAATTTTAAATATAACACATAATACGGATTGATTTTATTACTTATACAATTAACCAAGAATTAAAAAATTGCCAACTATCTAATATTGCAATTTTATACAGTTAAATTTAGAATAATGTTATTATAAAATAAATGCATTTCAAAGAAAATTAAAAAATTAGGTATGTGAATTTTAAAAGAATGACCCATGCGCAACATAGCAAATTTACAATCACTAGAACTAACTTTGTGTAGTTAACTTGTATTAGAATGAATTGACATAATATCAAACTTAAAGTTATGAACATAATCTGTGTTCTTAAATCTTATATTGCCTTTTTTACAATATTTCAATGTTGATGCAAATAATGACCATTTTTATATTTTACATCTCATAACTAACTTAAAAATTAAAATATCTTTAAAAAACAACAATAGAACACGGATAATGTTCTTACCTTAAGTTTGATCATAGGTCCATTTACTGTAATACTAAAGCTAATTACACAAAGTTGGTTCTGTTGAACACAGATTTGCTATGTTGCGCATGGGTCAAATAAAAAAAAACAATTAGTGCACTGACACCCTCTTAAGTATTCAAAGAAACTATATATACCTAGTATATTCAAATTTGAAATGCTAGCTTATAAAACTATAGCTAAAACTACTTATGTTTAATTTCGTAAAAAAGTTTTAACAAAAATTAAAATCGTTGAACAATAATAAATTCTAAAATAGTTATTAATCAATAATTTAAACTGAATAATTAATTATTTTCTTTAAAATGATTTATTTATAATAAATACCACAAATTACATTTGACCTACATACTTACTGACACTTTACATACTGACCCACAACCACACACACATATCTCATTTTTTTTGCTATTATTAATAATCTTAATTTTAATTCAAACCTTTCATATTATAATAAAAGATGGTTAAAATTATAAACAATATTGGATAACACCTACCTTCTGTTGTCCTTTAATTATTAACTATTACAATTATATTATATACATTTTTCTTTAGGTGTTTGTTTTATTAAGTCTTATCGCAGTGTCATTCTCTACATAGTACATACAGTATGTGGTATCAAAACAGCGCTGTCACATCAATATCAATGTTTGGATTTTGGTTTTCTTTATTCATGTTGGTATTCTATATATTTCATGTAGTTGAGTGTTTTTATAAAATACCATGGCTTAAAATTGTAAGTATTGTTAAACTGAAAATGATTAATACTCAAATATATCTTAATAAGATTCTAATAATTATTTTCAAACAATTTACTATGTTTTATAAGTTTTTTAATATGTGAACAATTTAAATTTAGGAGATGATTTTTGATGTTTGTTGGCCAATACTTTACCTTTTATCAGCATCCTCTGCAGCGGCTTATACTGGTTTGCATCTTAGCTACATGATAAGTTTGGTATGTAAATATAAGTTAACTATAATAATATAATAATATTGTTCAAATTTTTTACTTGAACTAGGTTTTTCATTTACTGTTATGACTTATATTAATTTACAATATGTTCAAAATACCCGTTGATTAGCTATGGAAATTTATATTTACAAATTGGCTCAAAAATATTTCATGCATCTCTTGTATAAAAAAATTAATATTAATTTCTCAATGTTAACATAGAATAAAATTATTTTTTAAACTATTACATTTATTAATTACTACTATACTTACTAAATAACAATTTACGTTTTTAATTAATTGTATTTGCTAAAACTAATATATTAAAAAAAAAAAACTATCACAAAATAAATATATTACACCTTCAATAATTAAAATGTATCGTTGAAAATCGGATAGTATAGTTTTATTTGTATTTAAACGTTTTGGTTTTTAATAATTTCATAAATATTTGATTAATTTGATTATAAAGCTATATTTTCATGTTATTTTATATAAATTCTTATATTTTAATGCATTTTTAGACAGGTAAACTAATTAGTAAAATGTCTATAATTAAAACCCTTGGATGTTTTTTTCCTCTCCTGACAGACACACCCTCCTCAGCAGATAAATGTAAAATATAATATGCAAGTAATAAATGAACTGTATAAGACGTTATTATTACATTTTTAGTTACTAGTTATATTACTCAATTGTCTCATATCTATAAAATAATATGGAGGATGATAGTGGATATCCAATTCAATAATTACTTTTGAATCATCTACGAAAATTTATCTTAATTTTGATGACATTTGAGATTAGTATTGTATTATGTATGTATTATCAATTCAAATAATATTTTTTTATATATTTTATTGCATACCAATTCACTCTGAAAATGTCAAGTTTTTATAAATCTATCTATATAGTTTTCTTCATTATTTATTCTTCTTTAAAATGTTATATTCAAACATAAATTATTGAGGAAAGATTTTATTTGTAAATTAAAATCCTAAAATAGTACTAATATATATTTTTGAACTAATATAGTTATTTGGATTTGCTGCAATGTTTGCGTATGGATATACAACGTGGAGAAATTGCACAAGGAAATATAGCTGTTCATCAACAAACAACTACATCAACAGCATCATACTGATATACACATTAATTAAATAGTATTAATCCGTTTTCTGTTTACTAATATATACAGTTCATCACTATCTACCATATTTATTTAACTAATATTAATATATAATAATATTTTTTAATCAAACATCACAATCATTTTTGTTATACATTAATATAATATATTTTAATATTTTACTAACATATTTTTTTGATGACATTTTATAGCTATTTTTTAAAATTGTTATTCCTATGCCACGGCCGCTATAAAATATCATATAATTTTCCAAGAGCTAATTATTTGGTATATAAAAAAAAACTATATATCATTGTTTTATAAAATAGTATAACAGTAAACAACTACTTAAGTCGTTTTATTTAAAATCTTTAAATAATGTAGAATTACATTATAACTGTACAATTAAATCTATCAAAGTCTTACTTAATATAAATACATTTTATGCTGTTTACTTTAGTTAATCAATATAGCGTGAACACATGCAATTTTATGTTTTATTTAAATATATTCATTTAGATCAAATTAAATTGTATGCATAAACTATAAGTAATTTTAATAAAAAAAATACTTAAACTTTTTTATTAAAGTAATCATTTTCAATTTAAATAATAGCTATTGAAACCCCAATATTCTTATAGTATAATATCTAATTTATGTAAAATAGTAAAATAAAATAAACATCTATTCATTTGATTACTTTATACCAAATTATCAGCTTTATTATTGATCTTTGTTATTTCTTAAACTTAGACGTTTTATTATTATTATTATATTTTAATTTGTTAAAAATCGTTTATATATTTTATTTTATTTGTTATTAAATCTTAATGTATTAATGATTTAAACTATTTCCAAAATAAAATCCTTTACAAAATATGAAAATCTTTGTTACTTATTCAAAAATCTATATTAAGTTTTAAAATAAATATATTTTTTTGTATTTAATAGTTATGTATTGTAAATTATTATATTATTTTTATCAAAAACGATGTTTTATTTTTTTTAAATTGGTCAATTTTATTTATTGTTTTATTATTACAATTATTTCACAAAATTTTCTTTTTATTTATCTGTGTTTTTTTTTTTTTGCATATAACCAACTATTACCAAAGAATGTCTTAAAAAATAATTCTCTCCTAGTCATATTAAATTCAAGATGCATTAATGTTAAAATATTTTTTATAACAGTATAAGCAATGTATGTATTGTTTATAGTTATGTTTGTATTATAAAATAACTATGGGCTTACATAACTTCAAACTTACAAAATTATGATCTACATTCTACAGAGTCGTTAATCCAAGTGATCCAAGTTTTGTAATACCTATGTGATATAAATTCTAAATGTTCAAATCTGGTAATTTTTTTTTTTACTGTTGTAATAGAATGGTATTTAACAAATTTCAATATTTATTTATAGAAAATTGCTGATAAATATTACGTTTAAAATGTTATTGAACTAAGATATCTATATTTTTATAATTAATTATTTATAAACTGTTTACCTAGTTATAGATAAATGTATTACTTATCATAAATGTACAATTTTGTCAGTTTTATAATCTTTAAGTGCACTAAGTAATCAAAATCAGTAAAACGTTATCCGTCCAATAATATTATTCATTTAATATAGGTACAATATATTTAATTTAAATGTATTACAATTTTATACATAATATGAGTTAAAACATTTTATTTTACTGTTATTGCCTTATTTAACTTTGTAACATTGTATGCAATTTAAAATATTATATTTAATGATTTATAATACATATGTATATATATCTATATTATTATAGTACTTCATAAAGAAATGTTTTATCACTGTTGTGACTGTAAGTCAACTGTTATCTTATCATAAATAGTGCCCCGTTAAGCCGCACATGTTGCCTATGCTCGACTAGAGAACAAAACTCAGGAAACTGGTACCCATTTGTCCACCAATTTTTGTTATAGGTTGAAAACTTATGAGGAACCTTGTATTAAATATTCAAACTTTTTGACTAAGTGAAACATTTTTAATGGACATTTGAAGAAAAAACCTAAGACAATTCGATCATTCTAAATTCTATAATAGCCAGAGATTGAGTCTAAATATTTTTTAAACTATATTAATTGAGTAGGTATAGATAATAATAAATTAAGGAACAGTGGATTAGTGGAATAATCCAAATCTCTACGATTTATACTTTTTGAACCGTTTGATAAGGTATTTTTATTTTATGAATTATGGGTGATTTCGTAAGTGGCTAGGTATCCAATTTCGTCTAAATTTCAACTTCAGACGCTCATAAAAAATATTTGTTGAATAATTGAATTTATTCTTGAAAAATCTTGTATGAAACCTCGAAAGATCGTAATACATTTTCAAACCTTCAGTAAGAACTTTCAAATACAAAATACTTTAAACATTTTCACGATTTTTACTAATTTCCAGTTATAAATAAATCAGAAATATTGTATTAGATATTAAAACCTTAAATGTTAAAATTAAAAACATGGCCATTTCTAACAACGCATATTGCAAATGTTCATGTTTTTGATGAATTTCATGAAAATTATGACTTAAAACAGTTTTAAAAAAATATTGTGACTTCGTATTTTTGATAGTACGTTTTAGTTGGTAGATGAACAACTTTACCTACTTATCATTGTATTATATTTTTCAAAAATTAAAAATGCCTATAATTAATATAGGTACCACAAAAATAATAAAATATTTTGAAAATGTCATACCGACAACCGTTGTGGAATTTTGGTAGTTCTACTATAAATACAGATAGAGTCTTTTGTTACTCACAAAACAGTTTTTGGCTATATTGTACATTTGTAAGAAAGGGACAACATATGCGGGTAGCAGGGTTGTTGATATTTCGTTGTAATTCAAAATCAGATACATACAACATACCTATTCGTATACTTACAATATGATTTACAATTTGATTCAAATCCAACATCCGTTACAAATTAAAATGAGATACTCATACTCGACAACTACTGTAACGCATAATACTACTATAGCAAATTAAAATATACTTTAATAGTAATAGGTACCAAAATCCATTTCATTAATATATCCTTGATATAGGCTGACAGATTTCTCCACTCAAAATCAAATTTCAAATGTATTATTTTTTTGATATATTAACTTGTGATTTTAAATTAATTTAAATTTAAGAATAAAAAAGTCGCTCTGCTGTACAGTAGGTTACAAGTGGGTCACTGAACAGTGCCGTACTTAGGAATTTTGCTAGGGGGGGGGATGATATATATAATTAATAATACACCTATAAATATGCACATAATATACATTTTTGAAATCCCATAACTTTTTACCAATTTAAGTAAGTGGATCAAGGCGAAATAAGAAACACAAACTGTATAGTAGGTACCTAAAACTTATAATAGCATTTATTATAAATTCATACTAGCGCCAATCCCGTGTTTAATAAGATAAACAAAAAAAATAGTTTTAATACAAAATCCAGTAGTCTCATTTTTTGGATGCTCAGTTCATCGATAACCTCATCTGGCATTATTGTTGTATTGACCGGTGACATGCCAATAAAGCCAATATATTAAGGAATAAGGGCCCGTATTACAATAGGTTAAACCCCGGAATTCGGCCTGTAAAATCAGCGAGTTAAGTGTAACCGAGGTTTAAACTATGATTGTAAAACGGGCCCTAGTCGGTTAGGTTGGTAAGGTAAGGTTAGCCCTAATCTGTCTAATAAACAAAGTATATAATAATTAATACTTAATTTATAATTATTATTCAATATTAGATAGGAAAATTGATAAAATATTTACTTCTATTATTGTATTTATCAATTATTTTAAGACTTCTTACCTAATAAAAACTTGAAATACTTCGTTCAGGTAGAGCAGTTGATACAGGGAAAGTACAAAATATTTTCAAGAGTTGATGATTATTTGGATAAACTCTTTATAGCAAATATCTAAAGCATGTAAACCAGAGGTGAATACAATTTTTTCAGTTAATAACACACAGTTACTAAGGCTTTCCGGTAGACATTTGTTTGTTGATAAAGGTAGACAAACTTATGAAAAATCTTGTATTGCATTTTAAAATCTTAGATTTAAAAAGAAAAATTTTTATGAATTTCTAGCTAAAAATAATTTGCAAGATTTTGTGTTTTTCCGTATTTTGTCAATATTTGAACTTCAAATGCTTATAACAAAAAACTGTGACTAAGGATTTTTAATATTTTTCAAACGTCATTGTTACAACATAATCGGAGCTTTGTATTACATTTTCAAGCTTTTTAACCTAACAAATAAAGTTGTATTGACATGCTTAGAAAAAAAACCTAAAAAAGTTCGAAACTTAGTATATCTGTAAACAAAAATCCATTTGTGAACTGTAAGTTGCTAAACCAAGAAAGATCAAAATCCCGACCAAAAAAAACCTAAAGATCAACTATTTTGCCCACATACTATGGTAAGATATGATGGATTACACAGCGATAATCGTACTAAATGAGTTTGTAAGATGTGCTTGAAATTTATATTGAGCGAAGAAGCAGTTGAAAACCATTTGACCAATTGCGGTGGATAATCTAACCGAGCTAATCCACCTAAACTAATGAAAAAGTTAAAGTTCATCTAGCCTTTTTTTTTTATTAATTATTATCAAAAATGATGTTAAAAAGTTAATAAAATGTAAAAAAATACACAACTTAAAACATTAAAAACAAAAAAGTTTATATTTTTTTAAATACATAATATGAAAAGTCATTCTCTGACTTAATTTAATAATAATACAAAGAAGCATCTAGCTGACATTAAAAATAAAAATAATAATAAATGCTTTTGAAATAATAATAATATTCAAACTACGTTTGATCTACAACATAAAATTATTTTTAAAGTTCTATCATTTAACCTATTACGCCTAGGTGTTAAAACTTGTATTGCCTTACTAAATAACCTCTGAACTGGTGCTGAGGACGGAATTGTAGAATTATATTTTAGGAATATCTCTAACAATTACTCAGTCCGGCCCTTGATA